GATCATTTATGTTTATCGGGACAAAAACAGTCCTGAAAAGTAAAAACAACGACATGATGAGATTGTCTGTTGAAGTAATATGGTAGTTGTTAGTTAGCTTTACATTGCTTGTTGGACTACTTGGTTTATTTGCTTTCATATCATGCAAGAAAGATTTGTGTCTATATAAGAACGTCCGAGGGAAAGGAAATTTAGAGTTGTAGGTTAGTTATTGACCGCAGATTAAGCAATGTCATAGAGAAAGTCATGGCGTGACTAATGTGCTAAAAATAAGGTTTTTATTTATCGTCGCGAGGAGTAATATGTTAAACACGACAAATTTTGTCTCATATCCGACAAGTTCATAAGAACAGTTTATATAGGCACAACAACCCTACCGATGATCACAATGAGGTAATGTAGGAGTGGCACCTATCTGCAGGAGTCGAACTATGAGATCCTAAACGCGTGAGAGGTGTCAAGACTGCCATAGAAGGGGGAAAAATTCATTGCTAAGGTTAGTTAATACTAATCAAACAAATAAGTTGAAACTTGAAACTCCATTGACTCGGAATGTTCTCCATGAAACTTGGGGCAAGTTATATAAATAATCTATGCCCAATATTTTTTTTTTAAAAATGGGGGAAGTAGCTAGACGCAACCAAATGCCCCAATTCATGGACATAATATTGTGTGCACATGGACGATGGGAATTATAGCTATAGCTAGGGAGAAAGGATGTTGGATTTCCAGTTTGCCTGGAAAATATTTATATACTTTGTGAATTTAGAATTGAATCCAATTTGGTTTGACTGTTGGGTTAGCTAGATTAACTGTACCAAAACATCGTCGTTAGAAATAAATAATCGAATTAGTCAGTTGCCCAAAACCAAAAATCGGTAAGGGCTTACTGGTTTTCGGTTGTGTTATGTCTTATCTTAATTGGTATAACCATGTAATTAACTGGTTTATGACATGGTATCATAGTTAGTTTGTCGTTGAAGTCACTTGTTCAAGTTCTCACGACCTTGAATGTTAACCATTGTCTTTGAAGCACATGGTATGGCGCCGGACATGTACAAACTCAAGTTATTGGGACCAATTTATTAACGGCTATCGATTTTAACCAAAACCATTAATAGCTTATCGATATTTACTCGTCAAAGAAAACTAATAAGTAATAAGCCTTTAAAACTGATTCGATTTTGGTTAAAATCGAAATGCCGAAACCGCCACCCCCTAAATCCAATAAACAAATGGGCACGTAAAAAGGGGTATAACCTCTTTGAAATAAGCGTTAGTCGGCACACCCACATGATGCATTGTTGCCCTTTTATCATGTTGGTGAAGATAGATTGCCTAACTAATGTTGATATCTAAATTCCAACAACCACGACCCCAATATTAAAGGAATAAAATAGACATTTTTGCACATAATTTTCCATGAGTGAAGCTCAATGAGAGTGGGGGCCAGGGTAGTAATGAAAAGTTGGATGGGGGATAAAGAGTTGTTTAAACTTTACAATTGGGATATTAATTATGGAATTACAAACATATTAGGAATGTGATTAATGTGTGCAATACATATAGGATAGGAGCTTATAATAATGAAAAATGCAAGTTTTTGGTGGGGCAAAGGATGAACGAGAGGGAATGATTCTGATATTCCAAGGGAATCATCATTTCGTGATGGTGAAAGCATTTCTAGTTTCTAGTTTTCTGCAAAGAACACGGGTTTCATTGATAACATGTATAGCTCAAAAGGGTGGACAAAGTTGGGTGAGAAAACTAACCAAAGGAGTTTGTTACTACAACTTATTCTTAACTAAAGCAAACCCCACGATATGCAACCCTAGCCATAGCATCATTGGGACACTCTAGAGCTAAAGTTTCATGTAAAACTTGTAACGATTTCGAAAATACAAACAATTGGTAAGAATTTGCTATCTCGCCTCCTTTTTGACCATCAGATTCAAATTCCATGTGCTTCCTTTTTCTGACCGGTGGTCACTTAGATTTTTGGCTACCTCGTTATCTGATTGCTTGTCACAACCAAGTTATTTGGCCTAACATGTGTCACAAAAGGAAGCACAAATCATATGCTAAGACAGATTTATGATATCATCGAGCGTGCTAGTATCACCACTTGTAAGTCAGTTTCCACTCTAAACATTGCATGCTGGCCATTTGACTACTAATCTCTCCTTTTCAAAATTTTCATCTCTACTAGGAGTTGGTTGACCGTCATTGATATTAGCTATTACATGATCCAGTTGGTCATTCTTAATCACTCGCTTATATGAGAGAGCGGATCTAATTCGACACATCCCAAGCATACTACGTACGAACCTTTGGGTTGTCTTCAAAGAAGCTATCTTTTGGCCTACTCGGAAGCAACATGTCATCTTTCACTCCTCTATAGTTAAACTCGAGTTTCGTTTAACTTAACTCTTTGCTCAGCAAAGCGAGTCTTACTCGCAACACAATACTCCCCCACTTGGGGCGGAGTTGCAAGGTTAGAAGGGGGTTCCATGGCACGTCCTTGATTTAGGGGAACATTACAAAACATAGTAGTATTAATATACTCATAATTAAATTCAAACCCTAAATCTCAATGTTAATTGTCAGATTTTTATAATCTAAACCACAATCAATTATGTAAATTTATTCTACCTACTAATTTCTACATTAATATAGTCTAGTTTATCAAAATGAATAATATGGTGTAGATTATTAGATGAAATCATTAAACTTTCTATGGTAACGAAAGTCGAAACAGAAAAATTGTTCATGTTAATGTATTTGGTTGTGAAACTTGGTTCAATTTGCTACTACCTTTTGTCAATACACATGTTGATATAAAATTTTCTGCAATTGAACAATTGATCGGCCTTCGAATCCAATAAAAATAATTTGTCATGGTTATTGGGTGGAATAATATTAAGATCGAAATCTTCACAGTTTGGACAAAGTTTTAAAATAACTTCGTAATATCATGAGATAGCAACATGGTTTATTGTTCAAAACTTATTTTAATGCACTCCACAAGTAAAATTTGCCACTACACCACCTCTGGCTTCATAAAAATCAATGATGCATACTTAAACCTCTACATCTCAATCAATGACTAAATCTCGGCCATAAACCTTCAGCAACGCTTGTATTTGTCTTTACTTATACATCAATTATCTTTCCCAACTCGTACGCTAGGTATAGAATTACTCACAGGTAGAAAACAAGCCCTAGCATAGCGTGGCAAATATATGTCATCCTACGATAAAAAAGGTAAAACATGTTCCCATTACTCACTGCATTCTCAAGGTTGAATTGAACCCCAAGTCCTATGTAGGGATTGATATCAAACCGGCACGAATACCCAATCCAATCCGATTAAAGCACGTAAAATGTTGACTAATTTTGGTCAGGTATGGGCAAAACTCACTATTTGAAATCGAAATGTTGAATTTGTATGTGGCTTTGGCTAATCTGGCTCGCCTCCCACCCGACCCACATCAGGAAAAAAAAAAAACAATGTTGTTTTGCATCTAACCCTAATAATATGAATAGTTTATGAATGTTACTAATCTTTATAGCAATGTAGTTATAGAAACAATTTGGATAATATAAAAGCGTGAGTGTTCCAATATATTATCTGCAGTTTTGTTCATGAACACATGAGTACCCCATGCATAGATGAATACCCGCTTGATTGTGATGCGCAGTGGCGGAGGGAGAGGGTAACAGGGTGGGTCCCGGGACCCACCCTGGTTCGAGGAAAAATGGTTAAATTAGCTACGATAGTTAATTGATATCGAAAACTAGGTCGCGTTTAATTGAGAATAATTGGTCGAAAAGTTTTGTGTTTGAATCTTGGCAACCTCATTTCTTAAGTATACGGTATACAGATTTGTGCCAACATCAATTTCGTATAAGTTGACTTTCTTATAAGGGAGCATGGTAGTAAATGGTATAATATATTATTGAAATCTTCCAACAACTCGATCAATTGATACTAAATTTTTTTTTTAAGAACATCATTCGAAAGCGAACGACTAGGTAAATCATGAATTATCGGTTGGTATAAGATTTATTATTAAACCTCTATCAACATCTCGAGTATTGATACTAACGGTTCTTAACAAAGAACACCATTTGAAACACTACGGCTAACTGAATCAATGATTATGTGGTATATATGCAGAGTGATATTCTTGATATTTTCGACTGCTAATTCATTTTAATTTATAAAAAAATTTCAATGTAAGATTATATTAAAAAAATATTTTATCATATTTATTTTTTTCAAGGTGGACCCACCTTTAAACGAAATCCTGGCTACGCCGCTGATGATGATGCGTGCTCTCTTTCAGAATTCAATCAATATTTTACCGATGTACTCGCTAAGTTAGATTCGGGTTTATGTTCATCTCTACCCAATGAGGTGTGATGACTCATGATACCCCAAGAAAAGGGCCCACAAGTGGGAGTCAAAAATGGCCCAAGAAAAGCAGCCATGTGTCCAGCCAAAACCTTCATCACTTGTTACCCACATCAAAAATTCATCTTCACAACTCACCACCTTGATGACCCAATTTATTTGGCAACCTAACAAAAATGAAAAACCCCTTCTTTGTCTTTGCTCACAATTAAGTCCTTCTTCTTCCTTCACCACAACCTCTCTCTCTCCTTCATGCACTTGACCCCAAACCCTCCCTCCAACCAACAATATTTATTTCCCATCCCCCACCCTCCCTCTTCCCTCCCATATGTTGGTACAGACAGTTGTGAAAAAAAAAAAAAAAAAAAGAATCACCCTTTTCCCCCTTCTTCCCCATTACAATAATCCACCACGTTCAAAACCCCCCCAAAAGAAAGATTCAAAATCCTCTGCTTTTCTGGGTTATATATACAATTTGACCAAACTCCTCAATCTCATTAGCCTAACCCCAACAAACAACAGCAGAAACCAGTCACCAAATCCTCCCCCCTACCTTCACCTTATAAATACACAGATTGTCAGGATGTCAGCTCTCAAGAAGATCATCCGGCGAGCCAAAAGGAAGAGAAGACAGCACCACCAGCACCAGGAACAGGGGATGGCGATGGATCATCAAGAGGGGATTAGCACCACAAAAGGTGATGATGTTCATAAAGTAGTAGAAGGGGAAGAAGAGATTAGTGTTGTTAATCATGGGATTAAGAAGAAGATCAACAAAGAGGTTAGTTACAAGCTGTCGTCGTTTTGGGAGCTGCCAGAGTACATGAAGGACAACGAGTTCATATTGGGTTACTACAGAGCCAATTGGCCTCTCAAGGAGGCACTCTTCAGCATCTGCCGATGGCATAATGAGACGCTGAATGTTTGGACGTAAGTAATTAGTTGATTAATGGTGTGATTTGGTGATGTGAATTACATTAATCAGTTCTCAATTGGGTTTTCATTAGTTCTTTGTTAATGGTGGTGGTTTTTGGATCTTTGTTTTTGCAGGCATTTGATTGGGTTTTTGCTGTTTTTGGGGTTGACCATGGCGAATTTGGTGAAAGTGCCTCAAGTCGCGGATCTCTTCGGCTTGTTTACCAGGTTTGTGGATCCTAATTATAATATATTAATCAATCATTGTTAACATCGAGTTTCGCGTCATAACTAGTTAGTACGTAATTCCGAGATGGTGTGTTCGAAACTTCGAGCTTTCATGATTTTCCTGCTTGTATTTTCAATCTCGATATATACGATCATAATTTCGTGTAATTACTTCGAAATCGTCAACTACTAATCTGATCATGGAAATGGTGCCAAATGAAATGTCATAAGATTTAACATTTTTTGGAACTTTGTGGGGTGGCATGAGATTAGAAGCACATGAATTGCCAGCAGTGTATTAATATAAAAAAAAAAAAAATTTGTCATGATTTGGGTGCTAGAGCGGCAATTAGCAATTCAATTTTTCTAATTACGGATTTGTATAGTAATTAATCGTCATGATTACTGATTAATAATTGCCTCCCTGTTCTTGTTTGTTTACAGCTCAGTTCTCACGAGCACAGAGAGAAATGCCTCCCATGATTCGAATTATCAGTTATTGGTAAGCGACCTCTTTCCTTTGTTGTTAACTTGTGACCAATCAATGAAGACTTTTCAAGTGAAATACAATTTTTTATTCTTCCTTTTCCATAATCACATTCAATTAGTTTAAGTTTAACACAAGGCACGCCATTTTATCCTATCTTGTTGGTGACTTGGAGTGATAATGTGCAATTTCCACTTATTTGTTTTATCCGACCTGTTTGATATGTTTTAGGTGGGATAGGATGTATGGATACTCTATTAGATATGCTCTGACACATTTTATTTTTTATTGACTTTTTTATCTAAATTACATATAATTTTAGTCAAATTACTTATAATTTTAATTTTATAACCTTGTATTTTAGCAATTATATGATTTTAAGTAGGTGATGCTCAATTCCAATAATAATTTAACTACATATTGTGTCAGTTTTTTTTTTTGAATTTTTTAAAGAAAAATAAACATGCCTTTTAAATTTTTCGTTTAAGTTACATACTCATATGGGTCAACCTACCCTGACCAGCACCCTATGATAAATTACTCGACTTGCTACGAGAGAGAGTTGGTTTAGATATCGAGATATGACAGTTATGTTGTGTTAATGACTTTTAGATGCATGTGATATGACAGTTTATGTGAAAAATTATTACTGTTTTACGACTATAATGAACGTTAGGACGAAGACCTTATTTGATATTACATAAAATATATAAGTATCCAATGGAGGGCAACCATTTTTTCGTAACAATGAATGTAACTAAAGAATTATGCCTTATTGGAACAAAATCTTTTTATGTCACATGGGACTCATTCATTGACCTAAACGGTAACATTTACCCAACCACGTTTTGCAGGGCACAATAGACCTAAAGCAAATCTCCCAACAATCAATCCACCGCCACCTCGCCGCCGCCGCCGACGGGACCCCAGCCGCCCGGTGGCCGTTCTACGTCTTCCTCGCCGGCTCCATGTTCTGCCTCCTCTCCTCCACCATCTGCCACCTCTTCTCCTGCCACTCCCACCACCTCAACCTCACCCTCCTCCGCATCGACTACGTCGGCATCGCCGTCATGATCATCACCTCCTTCTTCCCAAACATCTACTACGTCTTCCAGTGCGAGCCCCACTGGCAATTCGCCTACCTCGGCGGCATCACCGTCATGGGGATCTTCACCATCGCCACTCTTTTAACCCCTTCCCACTCCGCCGGAAAATTCAGGGGACTCCGGGCAATGCTCTTCACCTCCATGGGCCTGTTCGGACTGGTCCCGTCGGTCCACGCCGGGTTGGTCAATTGGTCGAACCCGAAGCGCGACGCCATCTTGTACTATGAGGGCGCGATGGCGCTGTCGTACCTGATGGGGACGGCGTTCTACGTGGCACGGGTGCCCGAGCGGTTCAGACCCGGGTGGTTCGATCTGGCGGGCCACAGCCACCAGATCTTCCACGTGCTGGTGGTGCTCGGCGCGCTGGCGCATTATGGCGCCGCGCTCGTGTTCTTGGAGTATCGTGACCAAGTGGGTTGCTAGCTCGACAAAAACAAAATATTTATTGGAATGGAATTTATTAAAATTAAATTAATTACTGCGGTGATTAATGTTAATTTACGTGTAAGATGTAAGTTATTCTTAATATATATAAAAAAATTGATTTAATTGTAGGGGTCAGCATTGTTTATTATTGTTATGAAAATTTGTCCCCCCAATTTGTTAGTAAAATCGTCATGTTCCTATACTAATATGGGATATGATTGTGGTTAATTAAACAAAGGAAGCAACACAATACAACTACTGAAATCATTCAATATCAGATCAACGGAAGTGGGTACGTAATTAGAGACGTAGAAGTAGGCCTGTCGGTTCGGGTCGGGTAACCGAACCCGAAACCCGCTAAAAACTGAAAAACCGAACCCGACTCCCACAACCCGAAACCGAAGTGCTCTTTGTGGGTTTTCGGGTTCTGAAACCCGAAATGGATGCCGGCGGGTTCGGATCGGGTGAACCCGAAACCGAACCGTTTGAGTTTTTTGTTTTTTGTTTTTTTTTACTTTTGTGATTTGAATTTTACATTATTTTGCTTGTACAAACAATTTTATTCTTATTATTTGTACATTCTTATTTAACCATTATGTTTAATTTTATGGGACGTGGACAATATAAAACTAATATTTACATATTAGTTTATTATTAAAATATTAGTTAATTATTAAAATATTTAATTTTATGTATTCTATAACTATAGACATACTATTAACTATTAAAGAGTATTAGTAGTTTAGAGACAAAGTAAAATACTTAAATATATTTTATACGTAACTTAATCATATCTTATTTAATTGTGAATTTTCGTATAATTAAATATTTTAGTCATACCATAGGTCCAAAATTGAAGGTATATCAACTATCATATGCAAAAAAATATGTGGTGTTTGGCGCAAAATTATAAATAATTTTGCTCAACATAAAATACCGACAATCATAGATGAGATTATCTTCAACTCGTAATTAAACACATTAGTTTTACAATTCTCAAATGATAACATCCAAGTAAAATAAAAATCCATCCACCATACAAGATAAACACTACTACCATATCACTCCTCATCAGGCTCTATATCTACATAAGTCTCATCATTCTCATCAGAATTGTCATCGACATAGTCTTCTTCCACTTGTGACATAGTAGGACTCGGGACCAAAACATGGGTAGCAGGAGAGCTTCCACTAGGTCCTGCAGGTGCACTTGCACTCCGAGTTTGAAAAGCTGCATATACTGGATAACATAAACAATAACAACTTGTTAGAATATGACTTGATCAAGATAACAAATATAAGAATAAAGAGAAAGATTAAGTCTTTACCATTTTGAAATACCACTTCATCACCCTCATCTTCTCCATCAGCCACCAACTCGGAGTCTGAAGATCTTATCCAATCTTCACAACAAATCAAAGCCTCCACAACTTCAGGGGATAAGGAGGTCCTAAACGAATCTAAAACTCGACCTCCTGTGCTGAATGCCGACTCAGAAGCAACAGTGGAAATAGGAACAGCAAGAATATCCCTAGCCATCTCAGAAATAGTAGGATATTTCATCCCACTTCGCGACCACCATCCCAAGATGTCAAACTTGTATTCATCCTCTTCTGAACCCACCAATGCTCGTGTAACCACTTCATCATCCTCCTCCTCCTCAAGGTACCTATCAAACTCAGATTTGGAACTTTTTCGAGTTCCTTTCAGAATGGCCTCTCTTTTCATTTTCCTAAAATCACCCCAAATCTTCCCTTTCTTCTTCCCATCCCCACTTCCACTAGGTTCTTGCACATCTTCCTGAATCACAATGGGAGAACTGCTAGGAAGTCCGAGCCTATGCTTGTAATGGTCAAACAGAAGACGCATTTCATCTTTCACCTCTTCGACCAAAGCTTTACCCCTGCTCTCACCATATACCTTCTTCAAAGCTTGTTCAAGATATTCAACTTTCAGCCTAGGATCTAATATGACTGCCATATAACACAACCGATTCATCTTGGAATTCTCCAACTCATCTTCAAACCAATACTTGGCAAGTTTGGACTTGATTCTCTCAGCCATGCAAGACACCTCAAAATCTATATTATCAGCCCAGTCAGATATCATAGTATACATTTCACATACCTCATCAAACAAGAGGTGTAAAGTCACATATGAAGTCCCAGAAACTCGAACAGTCAAATCATAGAATAGCTTCAGGTAATCAATCAACCTGCCCACACTAGACCAATCATCAGAAGTTGTGATACCAAGGCTTTCCATTCCATATTTTTTTTCATTGAGATGTTTCTTGAATTTCTTATCATTTCTAGCTAATGTCTGAAATGCTTTCTCAAATGGCTTTGCAGATTCCAACATCAGATACGTTGAGTTCCACCTTGTAGCTACATCCAACGAAACAAATTTCTTCGACACTATCTTTTCAAAATCAATACAATCTTTGAATTTTCTGCTCCTAGCTGGTGTAGATTTAACCCACTTCACAGACTCTCTCACTCGCTCCACAAATTTACCAGTTTCTTTAAGCCCATCCTTCACAGCCAAATTAATAATGTGAGCCACACACCTCATCTGCAGATACTTTCCATCCAAGATATCTGATCCCCACTCTTTCAACTGTTCCTTCATATGGATAGCAACCACATCATTGACACTAGCATTGTCCATTGTTATGCAAAACACCTTCCTAATGCCCCACTCCACCAAACAACTAGCCAACTGTTTTCCAATTTCACTTCCAGAATGTTTTGTAACTTGGACAAAGTTAATAATTCTTTTATGCAATTTCCAATCTCTACCAATGAAATGAGCAGTAATGCACATATAATTGAGATTAGACAAAGAAGTCCAAGTATCAGTTGTGAGCGATACCATCCCTAAACACTTAGTCTTGAAATAGTCCTTCAGCAACTCTCTATTTTCAAAGAACACCTTGATACAATCCTCTCTAACGGTCTGACGGCTAGGTAACACAAACATTGGACAAACACGAGCCATAAACCGTTTGAACCCTTCATGTTCAACATACCTAAATGGTAATTCATCTATGATAATCATCTCCGCTAAAGCTCTCCTAGCATCAATCTGATCGAATTTCCAAGTGCCAAGAGTGTGTACCTGGCCTCCAGAAGATGATAGATGGTCGACTATCAGCTCACCCTTTTCTATCTTTTCTAAACAACTATCTTTATGATTTTGCAGAGTAGAAGTCCCATATCTCGTGGGAGCCATAAGAACACCATTGCAATAAATGCATCTTGCTTTGTCCACTCCATCCTTCTGAAAACGCTTGAAGTGTGGCCAAACGTCAGACTTTTCTTTCCTTTTTCTTGAAATTGTCTCCCCGTCTATTGTTTGAGCAGGAGGTACATTGGTGGTACCAGTAGATGGTGCAGGAGCAGGATCGGAAGACGGTGCAGGAGCAGGAATGCTGGTACTCTTAGAGCGTCCTCCACGTCTAGGACGAGAAGCCGATGGTGCCTCACTTCCCCTGTCAAAATGAAAAGTTGAGTTGAGTATAATTCCTTAACTATACTGAGAATACAACATTTAGAATCGGAGGGTCCAAACGAGCCCTAAATCTAATGAAGAACTATATTAGTTCTCAATCCTTTTTACTCTTCATAGTAGCACAATTTATCCAAATACTGAAATCAATCTGTATTAACATTTCCAGGAGAAGACCCTAATGGAAGAAAACAGAAAGCTGCGGGAGAAGGTATGTACATATTGTAACATTTCCCCTACTTCTTAGTCCCTTAAGTTCTGTGGAACAAACTTACTTCAAGAAAGAAGAAAAAATGGAACATGGTAGTTGTACTTGCTTGAACTATATATATAGAGAGAGTAAAATAACTGAATTACCTTAGTGAATTAAATGAAAAGTTGTATGAAAATTGGTTATTTGATTTGAAGAACTATCATCGTAAATCTGCTTTACTTTTGAACCATACCACCCTTCCAGTGTGGACTGGAACCATGGAGATTCTCATTGAGCAACAAGAAGCAGCAACTACTAGACAAGATAATCGTAGCAGAAGCTGCAGCTGGAGAAGAAGAGGAAGAAGAAGAAGAAGGGAGAGGAAGCAGTATTGATGATGTGGAGACAGAGCTGTACATAGGGCCAGCACCAGACAGAAGAGCAGCAACCAAAACTACTACATGCCTTCCTCCTCCTACACACTACTAGAGTCAGTACTCCTCCACAACTTCACTATAGAAACATATGATGATCTCGAATAAAAAAGACATTAACATTATCATCCCATGTTATCCTTAATTGGGTTTTCTCCCACTTTCACTATGTTTCCATTTTCCTCCCAATAAAAAACATTCTGTCCCCTCATCACTATAGTTACACAGAGGCAAAGTTGCTAAACCAAAGCAAGTGTTTGGGCGGTGTAACTTGTAAGTGATCAGTGCTAGGTGACTGTATAAGACCACTGATCACCACCATTTGTATCTGAGTGAGAAAGACATTAACATATAATTCTTCAATTACCTCTTGCCTTAGCCCTTAGCCTCTCAAGTCACCATGTGACAGTGGGGCCATATCCATAACCATTTGATCAAGTATAATTTGCATCCATCATTAGCATATAATTAGTTTGAAATTAGGATTTCACCATAATTCAAAGGTTTGAAAATGGGCAGAACAGACAAATAGGACACAGTTTGGAAAGAGAAATTTTGCATGTATACAAACTGGAAACACAGCAGGAATAGAAACAAAGCTGAGAACCAAACCAGCAAGCAAAGGCACAGAAACAACCAGGGGAAGACTCACTGATCATTCAGCTGACTAAAGGTAACTCGTATAGAAGTTGCTCAAAATTCAAAACTCAGATAACAAATTTCATTTCCAATGCACACAGAGCAAACAATGGCGATCGAGACAGCAATACACGATGCACACAACTCACACAACTTAGTATCGCAACCCAATAAGCAACCCCTCAAAATCAACAACCAACAAAGAGGAATCCATATGTGAGGTCAGAATTGAACAGGGGATTCCATATGTGAATGAAAAAGGAGCTTACTGGGATTCCATATGTGAGGTCAAAATTGAATAGGGGATCTCTTTCCAGCTCCCGAACCTGCAACACCACAAAGCCATCACCCATCAGCAATTCAAACGAACATTTTCAATATTTGGGTTCATCGCACAGAAAGGAATCACTGTGTATGGAATCGAAAACAGAGCAATCGCCAGGAACCCATGTAAATGAGAAACGAGGAGGAGTAAAACAGGGGAATGAAAACGTACAACGAGTTTGACAACGTCAATGGCGGGGAGATTAGAGCGGAGAACAGAGATGCCGAGATTGAGGCAGCGAGTGAGGAGGCGTTTGGCCTGTCGTCTGCTTTTGTCTCTTCGTCGTCGATGGGCGAGGACGATAATGGCGGCGAGGAGGCTCTGTTACGTTTAGGTTTGCCAAAGAGGCAAAGACGAAGAGACGGCGACTGCCGACTGCACGAGGAGAGCTGAAGGCTAGGGTTGCTGCTCTCAAAACTCAAAACGACAGCGTGATGCATGATGCAGCTTTCGGGTTTTGCGGGTTGTTTTCGGTTTTGCGGGTTTTAGTGAACCGAAACCGATGCACTCCATATCGGGTTGAACCCGAAAAAACCGAAACCGACACTGTGCACATCGGTTCGGGTTCGGGTTAAACCGAAAACCCGAAACCGAATTGACAGGCCTACGTAGAAGCAGTGTCAAGAATCCAGACTCTGTACCAATCTGGACTCCTGGAGATCTCACTCTCGGGTTGAAAGTTGATAAATAACAAACACCTGGTATCAGCAAGAGCAAGAATAAGATTATAGTTATAGCAAACATTTTCCTCCGCGAGTGAAAGTTGAGACACAATTGAGATTCTACACTTAGGAGAAACCTAGATTCCTCTGATATGGTTATACTTATAGTTGGAAGGACACATATCACTAAGAGTGGGGTTCCAGTTAGAAATTTTACTACAAGGGCACAGTACTAACAATCCATAGTTAAGAGTCATAATTCATAAAGAACTTATTAACTCAAAACAATACAAGAGAAACCCAACACTTCCCAGACTCGCCATACAAGTTGATCAGCTCCTTCCCCTTAAATAGGTAGGTAGGTAGATGGATGGATGACACCGATTCAAGATAAATTCATAATGGGCATTCGCTAAGGAATAAGCCGACGACGGAGGAAGCGCAGTAATAGCAATAACAGTCCGAGTAGCAGTAGGAGATTTCCATGGGTTTGTATTGGTATCATGTTCATACCGTCGTATTGAATGATCCGAACGAAAATCCAGTACTAGTTCTGAGTCGTGAATATCTGAATAGTACGAACCACCCCCGGATACCTTTGCCCGGGCCTTGTACACACCCCCCATCAAACTATAACACCATCATGCTTGCTCCTTAGGACCTGAGCCTTTCATCACCATCTGCTCCCTCTGTTGGTTAAGGAAACAAAGCAACCACAATGTATACGATGATCAGAAAGCATGCCACAGAAAAAAAAACATGTGAGAAGAAGACAGTAAAGTAAAATATCTCTCTGTGATTCCATCAACAACAAAAAAATATGTCTCACTGTGATATCTAGTCCTCACATGGCTAATTAATTTCTTTCTTTGTTTCCTAGTCATTATCATTAGTGCATAACTAACCCTAGCAGAGAGTCTCAAGCAGAAATAAGTACCAAGTATTGAATGAGTGTTGCCGTCATCAGTTTCATTGTTGCTCTTGAACCCAACAGCTGCAGCTTCCATCGTACGCAGCTCGCAATTCCTTGAACCTTGGAATCGCAGTAGGCCAGCAAGAGAACTGAGCTAGGAACAAGTTCCAATAACTCAAAGAACTCTCTTGCTTCTGCGAAGAGCTCCACCTCTCCCCCTGTCCTCAAATCGCAGGACAAGGCAGCAATCACACCGGCATCAATACGATGTTTGAGGAAGAAAACTTGAGGCTTCTCTGGATGCAAACACGGCCGAAGATAGTGGCGTAGCTCATACAATTCCGGCTTCTTCAGCAACCCGTCCCACAGTTTCCTCCAAGACTTTGTAAGGTTTGCAATAAGCTGTGTGTTGTATTATTGACGAGACAAATATTGATACATGTGTACAGAGTTGTAGAATACAAGTACAAGTAGGAGAAGGAAAACTTGTTGGACAAGTAATACAACAACTATCGGGAATTCTCCCTAATACGCCCCCGCAAGATGGACGACGCGTCAGCAAGACCAATCTTGGAACGCAAAAGACAAAATCGAGTAGAGGGAAGTGCTTTGGTGAGAACATCAGCTAACTGAGATGCAGTAGGCACGTGACGGAGGTGAAGAGCCTTCGAAGTGACCAGTTGTCTCACAAAATGATAGTCGAGAGCAAGATGCTTCATACGAGAGTGGAAAACGGGATTCGAACTGAAGTGAATCGCCCTCAGATTATCACAGAAGATGGTCGGTGCCTGAGGGAGAGTGTAATGAAGTTCAGTGAGTAGATTCTGGAGCCAGACAGTCTCAGAGGCAGTCAGTGCTAGAGCACGATATTCAGCCTCAGTGCTAGAGCGGGCAACAGTACGTTGTTTCTTGGACTTCCAGGAGACGAGAGTGTCTCCGAGATATATCAAGAACCCCGAGGTAGAAGTGCGATCGTCAAGATCACCAGCCCAGTCGGAGTCAGAGAACACTCGAAGTGTGAGAGGAGTGGACTGTCGGCGAATTTGAAGTCCAACGGCGCGAGTACCTGCAATATAACGAAGAAGTCGTTTCACATGCTGCCAGTGCTCTGTTGACGGTGCATGCATGTACTGAGACAACTTGTTAACCGCAAAAGCCACATCTGGGCGCGTGGTTACAAGGTACTGAAGCGCTCCAACCACCTGACGATAGAGTGTTGCATCAGCCGGCGCAGTCCCTGTGGAGATCGTGAGTCGAGCAGTGGACGTTAGTGGTGTAGGAGTAGGTCGAGCTTCATGCATCTGAAACCGTGTAAGCAGATCATTGATATATTTATGTTGAGACAGCAAGAACCCGGATGCAGTGGGAAGGACTTCTATGCCGAGGAAATAGTGAACATTGCCGAGCTGTTTAAGAGAGAATTCGGCCGAGAGCTTGTCTTGGAACGAGCGTAGAAAGGAGGCATCATTACCCGTAAGCAGCAAATCATCAACGTACATAAGAAAGTATGCTTGAACACCATTCCGGGAGTACACAAAGAGCGAAGCATCGGAGCATGTCTTGACAAAACCACATGAAATGAGAAAGGCACTGAGGGCATCATACCACGCACGAGGGGCCTGACGAAGACCATAAATAGCTCGGCGGAGACGACACACATGGTCGGGATGGGCGGGGTCGCGAAAACCAGGTGGCTGGGTCATGTAGACTTCTTCTTGTAACGGTCCTTGAAGGAATGCATTATTGACATCGAACTGATAGATGGGCCAGTTGGAAGAGAGAGCAAGAGTGAAGACAGTCCGTACTGTAACTGGCTTCAAAACAGGACTGAAGGTCTCATGGAAATCAACACCAGCCCGCTGATGAAACCCTTTAGCGACCAGACGAGCCTTAAAACGTTCAATACCACCATCAGGACGCCACTTGATGCGAAAAATCCAACGACAGCCAACGACATTGTAGTGAGGTAGGCGAGGAACAAGATCCCTTGTTCGGTTGGCTAGTAAAGCGCCATGTTCAGTCTTGAGTGCCGCACGCCATACCGCATGGCGAAGAGCCTCTTTGACAGAGCTCGGTTCAGTAGGAGGCGACACCTGCGAGGTAGCAACAGAAGCATACTTGGGGTTAGGTTTAATAATGTTGTTCTTAGCCCGAGTTCTCATAGGATGCCGAGGTGGAGGAGGAGGCGGAGGAGGCGGTGTCGGAGACTGTGGTGGCGAGGAGTTCACTGGCGAACTATCATCCAGAGATGGTGAGGATGCCGAACCGTCCATGTGAGGCGAGCGGGGGGACTGCTGATCAGAGGAAGATGATGCCGAGGCAGGAGGAGGGACGGGAACAGGGCAGGGAATAAATGAGACAACGGGAATGGTGGACGTGAGCCACGAAGAAGTGGAGGTGGCAGCATCGAGAGGAACACAGGAGGTGGCTACACCAGGAAATTGAGACTCGACAAAGGAAACATGACGGGAAATAAAAACACGACTGGTTTCCGGATCAAGGCACTTATAGGCGCTTTGTTGATGTGAGTAACCGAGGAAGATGCATGGGCGAGAGTGGGGTTGAAGTTTGTTTGTGTTGTAGGGTCGTAACCAGGGGTAACAGAGGCAGCCGAACACACGAAGTTTGGTATAACGGGGAGTTTCATTGAACAAGACAGTAAAGGGAATTTGCCCTCGAAGAGCAGATGAGGGAAGGCGATTTATGAGGAAGACTGCTGTGGTGAAAGCATAGGACCAATAGGTGAGGGGTAGGTCAGCCTGGTGAAGGAGAGTGATGCCAGTCTCGACAATATGACGATGTTTGCGTTCAGACAAGCCATTGTGTTGAGGAGTGTGAGGTGGCGTGAGAAGATGGGTGATGCCACTTTGGACGAGGGACGATTTGAGCTTTTGAAACTCACCACCACCATCAGTGTAAAGTCTACGAATGGTAGTACTAAAGTAGTTTTCAACAAGAGTTTTGAACGCAAGAAAGACAGAGAGCACATCAGACTTAAGCTTGAGAGGATATATCCACGAATAACGAGTAAAGTGATCGACAATGACAAGATAATAGGAATATCGATCAACAGAAGTGACAGGGGCAGGACCCCAAACATCCGAGAATAACAAATCAAGTGGCCGACTACTGGAAAGACTCGAGTCACCAAACGGAAGTTTGTGACTTTTATTGGACAAACAGGAATTGCAAGGAGACAAAGACCGAGACGAGTGAGGTAGGGAATGGGCTTGAAGCAGGCGAGACAAGGATTTGGAGGAGGGATGGCCTAAACGTCGATGCCAGGAGTCAGACGAATGACGGGTGGTGACTAGGGCAACACGGACAGCAGTCGAACCTCCTGGGAGCTCATAAGTATCACCTTTGTTCCTTCCGGTCAGCAGTCGCGCCCCCGTGTTTAGGTCCTTCACAATGAACGAATCAGCAAAAAATTCAACAGAGACTGGATTAGCTCGGCAGAGTTTAGCAACTGATAGTAAACGATGCTTAATTGCAGGTACACATAACATAGACTTCAATTCAAGAGAACCAGTCTTAGTAGCAAGAGAAGATGACCCAATATGTGTAATCCGCAAACCTGAACCATCTCCCAGATAGATTTCATCAGGGCCGTTGTAGTCGGAATAAAGGGAGAGATTGCCGAGATTATTAGTGACGTGGTGAGTGGCGGCGGTGTCCATCAGCCACGGGCCATCAGACGAGGGAGGAGCTTGCTGCGGATGCTGAGTGTAATTAGCCTGTGGAGGTCGCTTGTGTGGAAAGAGCTGGAAGCACATCTTGGCGGTGTGGCCGGGCTTCTCGCAATATTGACAGAAGACCCGAGAACGTCGGGGGGTTTCATCATCCGGACGAGAAGTAGGATCCCAGGACGAAGGAGAGCTGGCAGGTGAGGACGGAACAGGGTAGGAGGAGGAAGGCTGGCCACGGCCGCCACCACGGCCAGGATAGCCTCCACGGCGGCCGCGACCTCGTCCACGTTGAGTGGTGTAAGCGGTGGCAGGAGAATCAACAGGTGGTCGTGTAGCACGAAGATCAGCCTCAAGAGCTTGAAGGCGATCCAGCAGGTCTTCAAGACGGGGCGGCACTTCACGAGCGCGGATCCCAGCAGCAAATTCTTGGTACTCAACACCAAGACCACGAAGGCAGATGGTGACAAGCTCCTCGTTACGAACAGCTTCGCCAGCTAGAGCAAGATCAGTGGCACGCGAGCGAAGGGCCTGAACGTATGTGGCCACATCACGATCGCCGCGCTTTTCTCCATGAAGGCGGTCGTGGAGAGTCATAATCCTCGAGTAAGAGGTCCCTGCATAAGTGCTTTGAAGTATATCCCATGCCGCTTTCGACGTTTCAGCAGAGGAGATGAACGGAACAATTTCAGGAGACACCGAGGCAAAGATGCCATTGAGCAAGAGTTTGTCTTGACGAAACCAATGGAGATAAGCTGGGTTCCGAGTCTGAATGTTGTTGACAAGGATCTCAGCAGCAGGAGGAACGACGGTGCCGTCAAGATATCCGTGAAGATCCAAACCATAAAGAAGAGAAAATAATTGAGCTCTCCAGGATGGAAAATTGGTGGCGGTCAGCTTAAGGGGAAGAGAAGCAGCTGGGTTGAACGTGACCAGCTGCGCTTCAGACGACGGCGCCGGGCCGGAAGACTCAGACGTGACGGCGGATTCGGTTGCCATGACGAAAGTGGGAAAAAAATCAGAAGCTAGGGTTCGCAACCTGCTCTGATACCATGTAAGGTTTGCAATAAGCTGTGTGTTGTATTATTGACGAGACAAATATTTATACATGTGTACAGAGTTGTAGAATACAAGTACAAGTAGGAGAAGGACAACTTGTTGGACAAGTAATACAACAACTATCGGGAATTCTCCCTAATAGACTTCATGTCTCGTTCCAGCCTCCAAACACTCGATCCGATCTGTGAAAGACCAGGACGAAGTAGCTCTTCAAATGCAATCGCGTGCAGGGCGCCTTGCGAGACCGAGATATCCCACCCGGGTCTACAGAACAACTCCGGAGCATCAATGGCAGCGGGAGGAATATCGGGGCGGAAAGGATTAAAAGCAGCAATGAAAGGTCTCATGGTGTGGACAGCAGTACCGGGATCATTGCTCGGAACGGCATAGTTCCAAAACAGCTCCCCGTTGCAGGAGACTACATTTCTGGCTATGAATTGGTGATAATCATGAAGCACAAGGACATCACCCGCGTAAGGGACATGGCCGGAACCATTCGGCTTGAATCCGTGGGCCGACACCAACGACAAAACAACGTTGCTAGTTCGGTAGATCTGACAAATGAGTACATGTCTAGTAGTGTTTTTTTTTCTTATGGATTTTGTAGTATATCTTAATGTTGGGTTACGAAAATCAGTAGACTTTTCTTCTTAGATTTCTTCGTTAGTAGTGTTTTCCCCCGGTAATTGTGTCGGAGAGGTTTTCTTTCAACTTAACGTGTTTGGCTTATTGTTTGTAGTAGTAGTGATTGTATTGTAGGTATTTTATAATAGTGGTCTCATTGTAATCATTGACTTGTTAACCATCTGTAGAGTTTTGCTTATTCGTGATAGTAATTTTGGTAGTGTTACTATTAGTTAAAAGTCATTAAATCACTACTGCTAACAATCAAATCACTACCATAAATCATGAAATTGCTACTGTAGGCTTCAAAATCACTACTAATTTAAGTAATAATGAATTTATTAGTAATTGTTCCGTAGAAAATGACTAATAAAATTGGAGAGAGAAAAATTGATTTTAGATGTTAATTAATTTATTATTTTTAATTTTCTGAAATACCTAACAAGCCCTTGATTACCATTGTACCAGAAAATGGAAGGCAAAGGCCAACCCATTAGCAACAGGCCCTTAAAGTTTTATTTGTTCCAGTCGTCTGACACTTCACTCCTCCGGCGGGCTTCGGTTGGTCTGTCTACCTCCATGGCGACAGCCGATAACAGCACCTCGGCTCTGGGTCGCCGGCTAGGCTCAGGTTTCGTGCCTCGCAGTTCCAGCAAGCGACACCGGTCACATTCAGCAGAAGTAAACCCTCCGATCTGGAAACTGGCAGACGATCTCCTCGTAGAGGTCCTGGTCCGCGCCCTCCCAAACCCTAGGTCCGCCTGCCGGTGCAAGCTCGTCTGCAAGCGGTGGAGCTCTTGAGAAGTTTCTAGGTTTAGATTGAGTTGTGCGAGAAATGTACAGGCAGCTATCTTGCTGCTCTGTTCTTTTGTATTGATCTTCTGCAATTAGGATTACAGCTGATTGCCACGTGTCTCACTCACGTTGGCTATGTTTAAAGTGTAAACAGTACTTAACGGCTAATAACTCTAAATAAAACGGTGTCGCAGCACCTCAAGAGTTTTCTGCCTATTCTAGGAAACGTCTCCATAACAGAAACGTTTCTCCTCCTTTGGACTCTGTTCGAATCTTCTTCTTCCTCTGCAATCCTGATCAGTCTCGGATTACATTTCTGTCACCCCCCTTCAAGTTGTGGAGGGAAGAACAACTCCCAACTTGATCAACAAATCCTTCAATCGTACCTGATCCAAGCCCTTGGTAAAGATATCTGCCAATTGGTTGATTGTGTTCACATGTTGTAACTTAATCAAACCACTTTTGATTCTCTCCCTTGTCACATGAATGTCGATTTCTATGTGCTTGGTCCTCTCGTGAAACACAGGATTTTCTGCTATGTGTATAGCAGACTTGTTATCACAATAAACAGTGATGGGCAATGGAATTTTCACACTCAATTCTTCCAAAAGTCCCTTCAGCCATTGAACCTCACAAACTGCCATTGCCAAAGCCCTGTATTCAGCCTCTGACGATGACCTGGAAACAGTGGTCTGTTTCTTAGTCTTCCATGTAAGCAACGATCTCCCTAGGAAGGTACAGTAGCCAGTAGTTGACCTTCTTGTATCTGGGCAACTTGCCCAGTCTGAGTCACAAAACCCTGTCAGCTTCAGTTCTGCTCCACCGTCAAAGAAAATCCCTTGCCCTGGTCCATTCTTCAAGTATCTCAGGACTCTATAGGCTGCTTGGAGATGTTCCTCATGTGGTTTCTTTTGAAACTGACAAAGTTGCTGCACTGCAAAAGCCAGGTCTGGTCTGGTGATGGTGATATAATGAAGTCTACCCACTAACCTTCTATACTGCTCAGCATCTGCTAGTGGTGTTCCTTGAGTTGCAGACAGCTTTACCTTAGGATCAATTGGTGTTTGACAACCCTTAGATTCCAAGTATCCTGTCTCTTTTAGCAACTCAAGACAGTATTTCCTTTGACAAACATTTATCCCATCTGCTGTTCTGTTAATTTCCAGACCTAAGAAGTACTTGAGAGGGCCAAGCAATTTCATCTTAAACTCCTGACTCAAGGCCTTCTAAACCTGTTCTATATCCTTTCCAGCATCTCCTCCTATTATGATATCATCCACATATATGAGCAATACCACAATCCTACCATGAACCCACTTGGTGAATAAGGAATAGTCTGAAGCAGATTGGCTAAAACCATTTTTCAACAGAAAGCTACTCAACTTAGCAAACCATTGCCTTGAAGCTTGCTTCAGCCCATACAAAGATTTCTTCAGCCTGCAGACCATCCTCTGTGAGTCATGCTGTTCCAAATCCAAACCAGGTGGTAATTGCATATAGACCTCTTCATTTAAGTCACCATGAAGAAAGGCATTTGAGACATCCATTTGCTCTAGAGTCCAATTCTTCACAGCTGCAATTGCCAACAAGGCTTTAACTGAATTAATTTTAGCAACAGGTGAGAAAGTGTCCAGGAAATTAATTCCATAGACTTGGGTATACCCTTTGGCTACCAATCTGGACTTGAATCTTTCAATGTTTCCATCTGGCTTTAGCTTGATCTTATATACCCATTTATTCCCTATTACCTTCTTCCCTTCTGGTAGTGGAACAATATCCCATGTTTGATTTGCTTCAAGGGAATCCCATTCTTCTCTCATTGACTTTCTCCAGTGCTCATGTTTAATGGCCTCCTGATAAGTAAGTGGCTCATCCTGCTGGATGATGGTTAAAGCATAAACCCTGTCAAGTGCATATAAATGATCCACATTCAAACAGATAGGATACCTGCTTGCAGCTGCTGCATTGTGACCAAAAGCTCCAAATTGTAAATCTGAATCCAATTCACAATCATCATATTTCTTAGGTAAATGATGTTGCCTCTTAGGTCTGGCTGGTGGTTCATAATCTTGTTGTGGCTCAAGTTCAGGGTCAAGTTCAACTATGTCCTGCACTTCATCATCAGGTGTGACTTCCCCCCTTTCAGCTGAGACTGGTTCAATTTCTGAAGGAAGTGGAGGCTGAGATTTAGAAGTGCTAGGAATAGATAGGTCAGGAGGAGGTCCAGTATCAAGAGGTGGAGGATCAAGAGGTGCAGAAGAGGGTTGTGAAACTGAGATGGAGTCATCATTTGTTCTATATGGCAATATAGATTCATAGAAGACCACATCTCTGGAAATGAGGACTTGTTGAGAGTGAATATCCAACAACTTATAACCCTTGATCCCAGGTGAAATGCCAAGAAGTACACACTGCCTGGATCTGGGGGCAAACTTGGTTCTGCCAGCAGTGGGAGTACTAGCATATACCAAACAACCAAATACCCTGAGGTGACCTAGATAAGGAGGTTTCTTGTAGAGAACTTCATAGGGTGAAATATTGTTGAGGAGAGGTGTAGGCATTCTGTTAATAAGGTAAACAGAATGCAGGATACACTCACTCCAAAACTTTAAGGATAACCCTGACTGAAACCTCAAAGACCTGGCCACATTCAAGATGTGTTGGTGTTTCCTTTCCACTCTAGCATTTTGCTGTGGGGTATACACACAGGACATTTGGTGCTCTATGCCCTCTGAGATAAAGAAATCACACATGTTGAATTCTTTTCCTTGGTCACTTCTGATGACCTGTATTTTACTTTCAAACTGATTTTTTAACCAGATAGCAGAAACCTTTAAGAAGATCTCTTGTTTCACTTTTGTTATGCATCAGAAACACCCACACAGCCCTTGAACAGTCATCAACAATTGTAAGAAAGAAACTATATCCATCATGAGACACAACAGATAGAGGTCCCCATATGTCAATGTGAACAAGTTGAAATGGTCTAACTGCATTACTAGTGCTAACAGGGAAATGTAGCCTTTTGTGTTTGGAGAAGTGACAAATATTACAATGATCGATTTTGGAATGAGTTACATCAGGATCACTATGCTGTAACAGATTAATCCTATCATTGCTGGGATGTCCTAGTCTCCAGTGCCACAGGTCTACTTGTTGGGGATTGAAGTTGAAAGCACTGGCAGCTTGAGTTTGGTGAAGAGCTGGAAGATTTGATGGCTGGTTTGTGAAGGTAAGGTGATAAAGACCTCTAGACTCTCTTGCTAAACCAATCGTCTTCTTGTTAAGAAGGTCCTGGATTTGGCAAATATCAGAATGAAAGTGTAAGGATATGGGAAAATCATGTGTGAGTCTGCTAACTGACACTAGATTGAAAGAAAAACTAGGTACTAGTAGTACATTATAGAGGAAAAGTCCAAAAGGCAATCTGACAGTTCCTACATGACTAACTAGAACCTTAGCAGAATTTGGGAGGTGAACAAACATGTCCTGAACTTGTGTGTGTTCAGTAAACAACTCTAAAGAACAGGCAATATGATCTGATGCCCCAGTATCTAATATCCACAAGCTATTAGGTCTTTTAAAGTTAGAGTCTATAGCTGAAGATATCACATATTTACCTGAGTAGTTTGGGAATGGAGGAAGATATTGTGAAACTGAGTAGGCTTGGTGTTGGATAGAGGGTGAGGTTGGAGGTGATGGTGAGGAAGTTTGATTGGTAGGAGCTGGGTGATTAGCACCAAAATGCAGTAGATATCTCAACTTGTTCAGCTCTTCTGGAGTAAAATTAAGAGAGGGTGGACTTACCATGTTGCTCTCATTATGAAAACTTACTTCAGAAGATGACTCACTCCCACTGGAGTTGCTTTGAGACACTGATCCAACAAACTTGTGTGAACCAGGTTGAGAGTTTCCACCTTGCTCCTGCTCCCTACTCTTCCTCTTGTAAGTCCAACATTCTTCTATGTTGTGATTAGTCTTCTTGCAGAACTTGCAGTACTTCTTACCTTGACCCTTTTCAGTATTTTCTGTGGTCTTGGTGTTATCACCCTGAACTGCAAGAGCCACAGTTTGTGACTTCTTTCCTCCTCCTGAACCATTAGCCTTCAACTCCTGCTCATGTTGGAGTAGGTCATCCACTGCATCAGCTACTGTAGGTAGTGGTTTTAACATCAAAAGCTGTTTCTTCACTCCCTCATATTCTGGATTCAGACCTCGTAGAAACCTGATTAGGTAATCAGTTTCCTGCTTCCTGTTGTAGGCAGTCACAGCAGTACAAGGATTGGGATTTCCTGGGATGCAGTTACACTCCACAACAGGGCTAAATTCTGTATACTCATCCCATAATTCTTTGATCAAGGTGTAGTATTGGGTGATAGTCATAGTTCCTTGCTTGCACCTGTGAATTTCATCCTCTAAGTTTGTCAACCTATTGGCATTTAGCTGACCAAACCTACGATGAAGTTCATCCCACAGAGTTTTAGCATTTTCATGACTCATAACAGATCTCTTTATGTCCTTCTGTAAAGAGTTCAAAATCCAGGTTACAACTGCAATGTTGCAACTATCCCATAAGAAATAGCTTGGATCGTTTCTGGCTGGAATCGCCATGGACCCATCGATGAAACCCAGCTTGTGCTTCATCTTCAAAGCTTTCTTCATGGATCTACTCCACATGGAGTAGTTGTTCCCATCGAGTGCCTCAGAAACGATGGGTTGTGTGAAATTTTCATTTGGGTTCAAGTAAAGTGGGTTACCAAAAGTGATGATGCTGCTGTTGCCAGATTGATCGCCACCATTAGATCCCATTTGAACACCAGATGTGTTGAAGACGCCGGCCGCACTCTGCGTCTCGCCGGTGAACGGCGATGCTTCGTGCCCAGCCATCCCGTCGCGGAACCTGGCCTAGAACGACCGCTCTGATACCATGAGAAGTTTCTAGGTTTAGATTGAGATGTGCGAGAAATGTACAGGCAGCTATCTTGCTGCTCTGTTCTTTTGTATTGATCTTCTGCAATTAGGATTACAGCTGATTGCCACGTGTCTCACTCACGTTGGCTATGTTTAAAGTGTAAACAGTACTTAACGGCTAATAACTCTAAATAAAACGGTGTCGCAGCACCTCAAGAGTTTTCTGCCTATTCTAGGAAACGTCTCCATAACATAAACGTTTCTCCTCCTTTGGACTCTGTTCGAATCTTCTTCTTCCTCTGCAATCCTGATCAGTCTCGGATTACATTTCTGTCAGCTCTCTCATCCTCGACCCTGTTCTGTTCAATCGTCGCTTCGTTTCTTACCACCGGAGCAGGAACCAACAACCTCCTCTGCTTCTTCACTCAGACGACCCGCAATCGATCATCACGAGCTTTCTCCCTATGAGCCGTCTATCCCGTATGTCCTTTGCAGTAATCGATTCTTACAAGGACCTGGTCTTGTGCGGATTCGAGGATGTGGGTACCACCAGCGGCGAATTGTACAGAACCTACTTCGTCTGCAATCCGTTCACCAAGCAATGGCTCGCCCTCCCTTTGGCGCCTGAATTGCCAGCAGGGTGCCCGTATTTCTTCACAAGGTTAGTCTGTGAACCCCGCATGTGTAATGATCTCGATCTAGGAGATAACCAAGTCTTTGCTTATTCGTCCGAGTATCGATTCCGCGTGGTGCGCCTATACCCGCGTGGATCGTCTGCAAAGCTAGACGTGTTCTGTTCGGATACCGGAGAATGGACCAAGGATCGTCTTGTTATTCCCAATCATTACCAATGCATAGCCAGAAATGTGGTTTCCTGCAATGGGGAGCTGTTCTGGAGTTATGCTGTTCCGAACCAAGATAAAGATGCTGTTTGCCGGTCGAGATTTTTCATTGCTGCTTTTAATCCTTTTCGACCCGACATCCCTCCCACTGCCATTGATGCTCCGGAAGTGTTCTGCAAACCCGGGTGGGATATCTCAGTCTCGCAAGGCGCCTTGCACGCCATTGCATTTGAAGATTCACTTCGACTTGATCGTTCACAGATTGCATCGAGTGTTTGGAGACTGGAACAAGACCGTAAGTCTTGGAGGAAAGTATGTGACGGGCTGCTAAAGAAGTCGAGATTGTATGAGCTTCGCCACTATCTCAGGCCTTGTTTGCATCCAGAGAAGCCGGAAGTTTTCTTCCTCAAACATCGTGGTGATGCTGGTGTAATATCTGCCCTGTCCTACGATTTGAGGACAGGGGGAGAGGTGGAGCTCTTCGCAGAAGCAAGAGTATTCTTAAGTTATTGGAACTTGTTCCGAGTTCAATTCTCTTGCTGGCCTACTTCGATCCCAAGGTACAAGGAATTGCGAGTTATGTACGATGGAAGCTGCAGCTGTTGGATTCAGAGCAACAACGGAACTGACAACAACTCTTCAATACTTGGTACTTATTACTGCTTGTGACTCTATGCTACGATTAGTTGTGCACTAATGAAAATTACTAGGAATGCACGAGCAACGAAAATAAGAGTCAGAAAGAAAGAAAGAAATGAGTCATGTGAGGACTAGATATAACAGAGACATTTCACTGTATTCTTCTCTCTGTGTTTCTTTATGTGGCCTACTTTCTGATCATCATTTACGTTGTTGCTGCTTTGTTTGCTGAACCAACAGATGGAGCAGGAGGTGCTGAAAGGCTCAGATCCGAAAGAAGGATGATGGCGTTCGAAGGAGCTGATCAACTTGTATGGTGGGTTTGGGAAGTGTTGGGTTTCTCTTCTATGGTCATGATAAGCCCTTTATGAACACCTTAACTATGGCTTCCTAGCAATGTGCCCTTGTATTAAAATTTGCAACTTTTGTACCCTTCAACTGTACTAAAATGGAACCCACGGTGGAAAATGTTCACCGTACTTGTTCTTCTTGCTTTTGCAGATACCAGGTGTTTGTTATTATCAACTTTCAACCTGTGAGTGAGATATCCAGGAGTTCAGATTGGCACAGAGTCCGGATTTTTTAGACTACATCTCCATATCCTTTTTATCCACTTTCGTTGATCTGGTATTGAATGATTTCGGAAGTTGTATGGGGTTGCTTGCTTTGTTTATTTTAATAATTTTATTACTTTCCAAATGCTACCCAAACGTTATACCGTTTATGACTCGTACAAAAATGAAAATCAGCCTGTTATCCTCTGATTCATTCTTACTGAACTTAACTGAATAGTATGTAGTGTTTGTAACTTGATATAATTTTTTTGGGTTAAAGACACATTTGGTCACTGAGATTACAAAATCGGGACATGTTTAGTCACTAGAAAAAATTAATATCAAATTTGGTCACTACAATTACTAAAACTGGACACATTTAGTCACTCGCCGTTAGTCTCCGTCCAACTCCGTTAATGAAGTCCGTTAAGTGATGATGTGGCAAACAGAATTGCCTAGTCAGCCGGATATAACCCAACAAAAATAAAACCCGACCCGCCACGTCATTATAACCCACCACGTCATTTAAACCAACCCAACCCATGACCCAACCCCACCCAACCCTTCTTCCTCCTTCCTCTCACCTCCTTCTTTCCCCAAATTCGAATTCAATCCAGACATCAAAACGAATTCAATCCACACATAAGGGAAATCGAATCGACAGAGAATAAAGTAAAAAAAAACCTTGTTGCCGTCGTCAAAGGGGACGGGCCTGGAGAGGAGAGCGTAGATGTCCTTCTTCTTCGACAAGTCCCTGTGGCGGTCGGGAGGCAGCAAATCGAGCAGATCCAGGTAGTTCCTCGGTAGCTTCTTCTCCCAAACGGAGTCCGACGACGCCGCGCCGCGGAACGCGTGGTTGAGGCGCGCGAGGTTGCAAATCTCCGGCGGCGTCAAGTAGGTGAAGACGCAGGCCACGCAGCTCTCCGGAATGTCGCCAAGCCCTGGCCCTATGGCGGCGCCGTTCGCACCTTCCGTCAGGTTCGATAGCGACCTGGAAGACTCGTAGTCATCGAGGTCGCGGTCCAAGTCAGCAGAGCGGCTACCAGACTCCAGGTCTCGGCGCCGTCTGTACGGCGAACCCTTGAAAAGATTACTCATTTCTTTTCCCTTTTCGTGTTCACTCACTGTCGCAGGAGAGATGGCGCCGTTTGTTAGCCCCTCGAGTTCGCAGCACCGATTCCCACCATCAAACAGCAAACTGAAGAGCCCAAAACCAGAAGAAAGAGACGGAAAACGAATCGCCGGCCAACGCCTTTCCCCCCTTCCTCGCTCGCAGTGTTGCTAACAATTGGGTTCTCTTCGATTTGCTTCAGGATCCAGCATTCACTTGATTCCACTCCGATTTCACGCTTCCCTTCCTTTTATGGACGGAAAAGATTCTTGCTTGCTTCACTGCTTCTCGTGGGTTTTTTTTTACTTTATTCTCTGTCGATTCGATTTCCCTTATGTGTGGATTGAATTCGTTTTGATGTCTTGATTGAATTCGAATTTGGGGAAAGAAGGAGGTGAGAGGAAGGAGGGTTGGGTGGGGTTGGGTTGGTTTAAATGACGTGGCGGGTTATAATGACGTGGCGGGTCGGGTTTTATTTTTGTTGGGTTATATCCGGCTGACTAGGCAATTCTGTTTGCCACATCATCACTTAACGGACTTCATTAACGGAGTTGGATGGAGACTAACGGCGAGTGACTAAATGTGTCCAGTTTTAGTAATTGTAGTGACCAAATTTGATATTAATTTTTTCTAGTGACTAAACATGTCCCGATTTTGTAATCTCAGTGACCAAATGTGTCTTTAACCCTATATTTGATTGATGTAATTTTCACCAAATTCACATAATTTCTATTTCATAGTAATTAGTGTCTCAAAAATATATGACCCACTTATAAATGAGATAAATCTGTTCGCATACTTGAAGTCTCAAATGACACATGAGATATATAATTTGAAAAACAAATGAATTATAAATAAGACAACTCGTTAAAATATAAATCACTCAAAACGAGCTAACTCAAATGAGCTAAACAAACCACTGAGGCGAGTTTAAATTTTAACAAGACTTAGTTAAACTCGACCTGTCAGTGAAAGAGTTGAGTTGTGAACAAGTTTTCTCGAGTCGAACGTCGAACCGCTTGTACTCATTTTCGGCGCTAACGCTGAGATGGGCTCTGTGGGAATTAGCTTATTTCCCCAAATGTGCAATACGGCCCAACCCATCAATAGGAGCCCAGAAGTGTTTTTTTTATTTTTTTGTATAAACAAAAATGGAAGACAGCCCATTAACCAACACCCAAAAAGATAAATTAGGGATTTCGATCTCTTTCCTAGTATCCGGTCGTCTGACATCCAGACTCCCGTGGGTTTCTGTCTTCCTCCTTGACCATGGCGGCCGATAACAGCACCTCGGCTCTGGGTCACCGGCTACGCTCAGGTTTTTTGCCTTGCAGCTCCAGCAAACGAGCGCGGATACATTCAGCTGAAGTATACCCTCCGATCTGGAAACTGGCAGACGATCTCCTCGTAGAGGTTCTGATCCGCGCTCTCCCAAACCCTAGGTCCGCCTGCCGGTGCAAGCTCGTCTGCAAACGGTGGAGCTCTCTCATCTTCAACCCAGTACGGTTCAATCGCCGTTTCGTTTCTTACCACCGGAGCAGGAACCAACAACCTCCTCTGCTTCTTCAATCAGAGGACCCGCAATCGATCATCACGAGCTTTCTCCCTATGAGCCGTCTATCCCGAATGTGCTTTGCAGTAATGGATTCCTACAAGGACCTGGTCTTATGCGGGTTTGACAATGTGGGTCCAACCAGCGGCGAATTGTACAGAACATACTTCCTCTGCAATCCGTTTACCAAGCAAAGGCTCGCCCTCCCTTTGGCGCCTGAACTGCCAGCAGGGTGCTCGTATTTCTTCGCAAGGTTAGTTTGTGAACCCCGCATTTGTAATGATCTCGATCTAGGAGATAACCAAGTCTTTGCTTATTCGTCCGAGTATCGATTCCGTGTTGTGCGCCTATACCGGCGTGGATCGACTTCAAAGCTAGACGTGTTCTGTTCGGATACTGGAGAATGGACCAAGGATCGTCTTGTACTTCCCAATCACTACCAATTCATAGTCAGAAATGTGGTTTCCTGCAATGGGGAGCTGTTCTGGAGTTATGCTGTTCCGAACCAAGATAAAGATGCTGTCCCCCGGACGAGATCTTTCATTGCTGCCTTTAATCCTTTCCACCCTGACATCCCTCCCACTGCCATTGATGCTCCGGAAGTGTTCTGCAAACCCGGGTGGGATATCTCGGTTTCGCAAGGCGCCTTGCACGCCATTGCGTTTGAAGATCTACTTCGGGCTGATCGTTCACAGATTGCATCGAGTGTTTGGAGACTAGAACAAGACCGTAAGTCTTGGAGGAAAGTATGTGACGGGCTGCTAAAGAAGTCGAGATTGTATGAGCTTCACCACTTCCTTCGGCCTTGTTTGCATCCAGAGAAGCCGGAAGTTTTCTTCCTCAAACATCGTGGTGATGCTGGTGTAGTATCTGTCTTGTCCTGCGATTTGAGGACAGGGGGAGAGGTGGAGCTCTTCGCAGAAGCAAGAGTATTCTCAAGTTATTGGAACTTGTTCCGAGTTCAATTCTCTTGCTGGCCTACTTCGATCCCAAGGTATAACGAATTGCGAGTTATGTACGATGGAAGCTGCAGCTGTTGGATTCAGAGCAACAACGGAACCGACAACAACTCTTTCAATACTTGGTACTTATTACTGCTTGTGACTCTATGCTACTGTTAGTTCTGCACTAATGAAAATGACTAGTAATGCACGAGCAATGAAAATGAGAGCCAGAAAGAAAGAAAGAAAGAAAGAAATGAGTCATGTGAGGACTAGATATCACAGAGACAGTTTACTGTATTCTTCCCTCAATTTTCTTTATGTGGCCTGCTTTCTGATCATCGTTTACGTTGTTGTTGCTTTGTTTGCTGAACCAACAGATGGAACAGGAGGTGCTGAAAGGCTCAGATCCGAAGAAGGATGATGGTGTTAGAAGGAACTTATTATCTATCTATATATCTGTGAAGTTAGGGGGAAGGAGCTGATCAACTTGTATGGTGTGTTTGGGAAGTGTTGGGTTTCTCTTCTATCGTTTTGGTCATAATAAGCTCTTTATGACCCTTAACTATGGCTTCCTAGCAATATGCCCTTGTATTAAAATTTCTAACTTTTGTACCCTTCAACTGTACTAAAATCGAACCCATGGCGGAAAATGTTTACTATTCTTATTCTTCTTGCTTTTGCAGATACCAGTTGTTTGTTATTATTAACTTTCAACCTGAGAGTGAGATATCCAGGAGTTCAGATTGGCACAGAGTCTGGATTATTGAGACTACTTCTACTTATCTTATTTATCCACTTTCGTTGATCAGATATTGAATGATTTCAGATGTTGTATGGGGTTGCTTGCTTTGTTTATTTTATTACACTCCACTTGCTCTCATAAATTCTTTTGACATTATTCTTCTTTAGTTAGGATACATAGGTGGTTTTATACATAAGGTTCATGCATCTGAACTCTGCAGTAGGGGTTGCTAGAACTCTGCAGTAGGGGTTGCTACTGCTCTGGACAGTATATGGTAATGAGTAGGGGTGGAAGTTTGGTTTGCGGGTTACCCACACTTTGTGGATACTCATACCCACAATTTGTGGATAGTGGGTTGGGTGTGGGTAGCAAAATATTGGTTTTTGTGGTTAGTGGTTAATCACTACCCACAGCGGTTTACCCACAACGATTTACCCACAAAATTCACATTACCCACATTAGTTATATTAGTTTGTGAAACTTGGAAAACGAAAAATTAAGGTAGCTACTAAAATCAAATACATATTTATTCTATAAAACAAAACCAAATCAATAAGCAATATTCGTGTGAGGTACTTTTATCAAATAAGCATTGTCCTTGTGATATATGTTTATTTTATAACAAAACCAAGTCCATAGATATAATCAGATAAATTAATCGATTCGTTAGAAGAGGGGAATAATCGATAAAGGTTAGTTCGATATCCAAACTCGTCTCCATTTCTCCAAGAACTCATGAACAACACAACATGCAACTAGCTAACAACAATACAAGACTCTAATCGAGAGTGGAGAATAATCGATTCATTAAAAGCGGGTGCCTCCACTTATCGAGCCACTTTTGTGTTTTGTTGTTGTTGCCACCGGAGGAGCCGTGACATGCAACGATGTTTGTCTGGTAACAGGTTACTCCGCCTTTTCGTTATCTTCAAATCTCTTTCCAAATCCATCTCTTCTGAATTTACACTAACTAACCTCTCGTATTCGAGATTTATAATTTATTTAACACTTTATTAACTTTCTTTTATGTTTGTTTTTGTGTGAGAAGAAACAAAACTTCACTATTTAATTACCCTATTATTTTATTTAATAATGAATTTTTTGTGGGTATCCACAACCAACCCGCACCAACCCGCAGCGGATAGTGGTTAACCACTACCCACCGCGGGGCGGGTTGTGGGTAGCATAATTCTATATTTGTGGGTGTGGTTACCCACAAAATGTGGGGCGGGTAACCACACCCACCCCAATTTCCACCCCTAGTAATGAGCATGCTCTCGACCTTTCTCATTATATTTTTTTTATTAAGGGAGGCAAAGGCCACAGGTCAAAAAACAGGACAAGCTCCTCCCAAGCTGTCACTGCAACAAAACAACAGGACCGGGAAGGAGGAAATCCACAACAAGCAGGAACTCAGGCCTCGACAAACTGGAAAACAGAAGCAGAACACCCCTAAATCAAACAAGCACACTAATCTCCGCTCTGAAGCACCCTTCTCGGGAAGCTAACGCCAATTATATCTTCCCTCAGGATTCTTTCCAACTCCCTAGGAGGACTTGTTAGTTCACACGTACTGAAGAGATAGACGAGACTGTGGTTTGAGAGTCAGTCCGCGACTCTATTCCCCTCTCTGTACGTGTGAACTAACCGCACCACCCAGTTCTGAGACATCAGCCGCCTGATAGCTGCCAAGATAGTCGAATGGGGATGAGCAGGATCCTCACGATTCCTGATGAGGTCGATAGCCAGCTTTGAGTCTGTTTCTAGAATTAGAAATTGGGTACCTTGCTTCCAAGCCATAATGAGACCCTGATGGATTCCCCACAGTTCCGCTAAAATAGCTGAGCCAGTCTCGATCTTGCAGCAGAAACCGCTCAACCAATCACCATCGTTGTCCCGGAGAACTCCCCCGGCAGTCGCCAACCCCGACAATCCTTGCGAAGCTCCATCCGTGTTCATCTTTCTCCAACCGGCCGAAGGTTCATTCCACCCAATCAGCTTGTCTTCACGTAGAGGTTTCTCCATAGAGGCTAAATTATAATTTGCTCTTTCCCATATGTCAATCCAATCCTTTGCCTTAGATATAACGTAGTTGATGAGAGACGAATCAGCTAGTGAACCTGCTAAGTACGCGGAGCTGGTGTTGAAAAGTCCGTTCACTGAAAGCTTTCCAGAATAGCATGTCTTCATCGTGGGAGAGGGGGTCCAACATGATCGAACGGATTTTGTCAACGATCTCTTGAGGTAAGTATGCTTGGAAGTCCTGAACCTTCCATCCACTGCTTGCCTCCCAATAGTCAGCTACCGTCTTATGATCCAGCTTATAGGGCACCACGATAGTGGTAACCTCCATCAACGGGACCTGCAAAACCCACACATCCGTCCAGAATTTAGTTTTTCGGCCATTCTTTACATTATAGGCTGCTCCCTTGCGCAACAGATTTGCAGTTTGAACAAAACGGTTCCAAGCAAAAGAACTTCCCTTTCTTTTGCTGATGGCTTGCAATCCTTGTCTAGTCCCTCCATACTTGCTTCTCATCACACAAGCCCAAAGAGCTTCTTCATTTTCTCCCACGCTATCGGATGGAATTTTGTCTTTCCATCCTCCTCTCCCCACACAAGCTGGCGATTCAACCTATCAAGGGAAGCACAAACACAAGCAGGTAATCGTTCGGTAAACATGGAATAGATTGCCATAGAGGAAGCTACAGACTTCACCAGGGTAATCCGGGCTGCTACAGAAAGGTGATTAGCTTTCCAGTTTGCAAGCTTTTGTTGAATTTTCAGAATCAATTCTTGGTAGCTCCCTTTAGTGATCCTACCATTAATAGCTTTCAGACCCAAATATTTACCCAGGTCATCAGTTAGGGTGATCCCAGCCCTCGAACTGAGTCTCTGAGCCTTGTCTCTATGAACATTGGGCGAAACATAAATGGCAGACTTGCTCAGATTCACTCTTTGTCCCGAGCTTGAGCAGAAGTCCTGCAAACAAGAGCGGATAACATCAATCTGCCCTCCTTCGGCTTCTGCAAACAAAATCAGATCGTCAGCGAAAAATAAATGAGATAGTCTTGGACCATTCTTAGCAAGAGTAATTGGTTTCCAAAGTTTCTCATCTATTGCTTGTTCTATACGATGCGCAAGTCTTTCCATTCAAAGCAGAAAAAGAAAAGGGGATAAGGGGTCTCCCTGTCGGACTCCTCGAGAAGGCCTGAAGGTTGAGGTGAGCTCTCCATTCCAGTTTATTCTCATTTGGTTCTTCTCAACACACATGATTCGGCTAATCCAGGTACTAGGGAGGCCTATTTCCCCCAGGGTGTCCCTTAGAAAGCTCCAGTGAAGACGATCATAAGCTTTCTCTAGGTCAATTTTTATCACTAGGCCTCCCTTCTTTCCTTTCTTGCTTCTCAAGGTGTGAAGAGTTTCTTGCAGCAGAAGGATGTTGTCATTGGTTTGTCGTCCCTTTATAAAGCCACTTTGAGTAGGAGCAACCAGTTTTGGCATCAGAGGTTTAAGTCGATTAGCAATAGCCTTCGTAATTGCCTTCAGGGCTACGTTGTTTAGGCTGATGGGCCTGAATTGAGCCGAAGTCTCTAGATGAGCCACTTTGGGGATGAGTACCACGGTAGAGTCAAAAACCTCCTCCGAGATGTTGCCAGTTTCAAAGAAGTGTGTTGCCATCTCCGTTAGGTTCTTCCCCATCAAGGACCAGAATTTCTGATAGAAAACCGCATGAAAACTATCTGGTCCAGGGGCCGACATCGGTTTCATTTCGAAAATGGATTTGTGGAAGTCTTGAATGTGGAAAGAGTGAAGAAGCTGGAGGAGTTTTGTTTGCTGCAGACGCGGGAAACACCCTTTGGGCATCAAGTCCTCATAGGCTTCTCCCTCCTAGTATAAACAGACTCATAAAACCGAACGACCAAATTCTTCAAACCTTCCTGATCCTCTATCCAGTCCCCATTCCCATTCCGCAGGGCTAGAATTCTATTCCTCCGCCTTCGTCTAGTAGCTTGCTGGTGAAAGTATGAGGTATTTTGTTCTCCAAATTTCACCCACTTTTCACTCGCCCTCTGATACCAATAGAGTTCCTCTTGTGCAATGATAAGGTCCAGTTCCTTTTCAAGCTTTATTTGCAGTTTCATTAGACCTGGGCTAAAGGAATTTGCTAGCCTGTTTGTAACTCCCTGCAATCTGGCCAGGAGCCTCCTTTTCTTACGACCTATGGAGCCAAATACTTGAGTCTTCCACTGCTGTAACTTCCCCACAAATTCAGTAAGCGTCTCTTGAAGGGTAGTATCTTTATTCCAGCTAGCATGAACAAAGTCCCTGAACTGAGGGTGAAGCATCCAAGCCGCTTCAAACCTAAATTGTCTTGTATCTGCAGTGGACTGAGACATCACCGAGTATCTAGTAAGAATGGGAAGATGGTTCGAATGAAACTTTGGAAGGTGTTGGACCACTGTGTTGGGGAAGGAGCAGTTCCAAACATCATTGCACATAGAGCGATCAATTCTGCTAGCTTTGTGGGTCAAGCCAGTATCTCCCCTGAACCAGGTGTAACGAGGACCCGAAAAACCCAAGTCAGTGAGACCAGCTTCATTCATCCAAGGCAAGAACCTTTCTCATTAGATTAATTTACAATGTACGCCTGTTTTAAATTCTCATCATTGATTTGCTCTTCTGCATGTTCTTGCCAGTTTAGATGCTATTGCAGAATGTATGTTCTAGGCTGGTATGAGTTTCCTTTCATAGTGCTTCACACCATCATGCTACATGTGTTATTTCACTTATCTGTGAGTGGAGAACATTGATCACATTAATATATATAAATTTGAAGCTGGGTTACCGTTGCCTAAGAACTCTCTCTTATTGGCCCATTAGGAATAATGATGATTTGATCCCTATGAGAAAAGAATTGGAGCGATGAAAATTTCTCAAAATTAATTAAAGGGTAAATACAATATATTAGCCATAATTATTAAACAGCGGGAAATTATAACAACAACTATCAAAATACAAATTATTAGTCAACCGTTAAGTCTTTGTTAATATTTTTGTTACTAATGATGACTAAAATTTTACGATGCTGAGCTGGCTCCCACGTGGCAGTCATCATATAATATTTCTTACGATGCTGACATGTTTATATATAT